ATGTATGCAAAACGTGCGTCTAGCGTAAAAATTTATTAGCCTGGTATTTCTATTGAGTCGCTGAATTCGAAAAATGTGTTTATGAAGTTGAGATTTCATTAGTAAATTTAACTAAAAAAATTTACTGCAATAGATTGATTGATTGTTGGTGTTTTAACGCCACTTTTAAGCGCCATATTTAGGCTATTTCGTGGCGGCCAGATTTTATTGGCGGAGGAAGCCGGAGTGCCCGGAGAAAACCACCGACCTTCGATTGGAAAACTGATAATCCTAGTCAATTAAGATTGGAATCGAGTGAACCTACACGAGCGGGATTCGAACCCACAACCTCAGTGTTGACTGGCTAGTGATTACAGTAGTAGAACTAATTAGACCACTTGGCCACCGAGGGGGCCTCGCCCCTACTGCAATAGATGAAAGTTTTGACTATTTACTTTTCTTCGTTAATGCTCAAGGCAAACATATTTGAAAATCTAAAACCTAATAAAAATTTGAAGAGCTGCAGTAACTTTAGGACTTCATAATCAGTTCCTTGCATTTGGATTTATACAGCGCATGCGTTTAACGTCAAATTACATTCTCCGTAATGGACTTAACGAAATTAAACCTTGTAAGGATTGAAACTTTGTAATGTCATAGACAAGATTTTTACAATGACAAATAAATGCAAAAATAGAAGATCAAAATATGCAGGATTCGTAATTTTATGTAGTCTTTGATGTTGAATTGATCAAAATATATATACTAAACTAAGTCCTCTGTGCACGTTTTTTTTTAAAAAACAATTATTACGAATACATATCGCATGATCGACAAAAAAATGTCATTAAGTTATTATTGATCAAGAACTGTGGGTCCTAATCAACTTTTAAGTTTTGATGCCGAAGGTTGTCTTCTCTCTTGTTATAATACAATTAATTGTCATTTTATTACCAGCGAATTAAAATATCAACAATTTAAAGGGAACCATCATGCTAAGTCTAGATTCGATTCAGTGTATGTTATTGGTTGCTGTCTGTCATATTTGCATTTAATTGTTGTTTTAGCATAAATCAGACCGTTGATTTTCTCTGTTGAATTGTTTCATATTTTTTCATACTTCTTTGTTGGCGTCTTTGTTAAATTTACTTTGAACTACAACAATAGTATTTTGTTGGCGCCTTTGTTAGATTTAGTTGTATGTTTGTTTGAACTTTTTAGTCAGTTTAGTTGTGTTGTATGTCTGTGATATATGTTTACACAGTTTTGGCTGCTGGATTCCAATTTATGTGTCACATTAACATATTATCGCTGTTTCGGTTGCTCGTCTAATTTTTGTTCAACATAACAGAACTATAAACAACTGTCATACAAGTGGCAGGTTAAATTAGCTATAAAACCAGGTTTAAACCACCATTTTCTTTGGAAAATGCATGTACCAAGTCAAAAATGTGACAGTTGTTTTTCATTCGTTCTGTTCGTTGATAAAGTTTGATTTTGATCAGTTTTTTATGGACTTCTCAAATTTGAATTTACCTTGGAGTTCGGTACTTTTATTCTTTTTTGTTAAGATGTTACCATCATAGCTTACTATACGGTAAAGGTTTTGCTCATATTTTATGGTAGTGCTATAACCTATTGTTGCTTTTATCTTTTTCCTTTGGTTACTGGGGTATAGTTGTCTCATAGACATTCATACCACATCTCCTAATTTTTATATTCAATGAATTATAGAGTATATATCAGCATGTCCAGTTGATTTTTCGAAAGTAAATGTTAAAAGCGACACTGTTTCAAAACTAGTTCATTCAAATCTTAACTTTGTAAAAAGCGTTTTTCCTTACTTCATTTTATTTATGAGAGGCTATGGGAAAAATTACATCCGAATGATTGATCTTATTTGTAATTAGTAGACAATCTCATTAAATATTCGTGACAATACAAACATTAAGAATAAAAAACAAACAACAAGAGATAAAATGGAAACAAAACTGAAAATTTTTTGAAAAGGGAAAACATATATGTACGACGTCATGTTTATTTTCTTGGTTCCTACGTCTGTGATATGTAGACTAGCTGATCACTTATATAACCAAGCTAAATACACCAACCACATATAAACGACTCATCCGAGAATAGAAAAAAAGACGTACAAACAACAACGAACAACACATGGCCAAGATATCGACAAAATATGTGGTTGGATTGACAAAAACAAACCCACATCTTTGCCTTGAAGTATTTGGATTTGTTGTTGAATCTTATCCTTTCGAATTGATAATCAAATTAAACCAAACACAGCAAAATTGTCGTAAATTCACATAATTAACTAATCTGAGGTTCCGCGCTTTGTATTACAGTCCCTGATTGTGTTATTTTACAACTGTCACGGGTTATATTGAGTGACCAACAAAGGTACATAATGTAAGTTCTAACGATTAATGTTGAATATTCTAAACATTTTAGTATGATTAAGTTTATTCACATTTTCAATATACCAAGTGTTGTTTATTAAAACACATTCTATAAACATGTAAAGTCAAACATAAAAATATGTACTTTTGACAGATGTTCTATATTGACCTGTTAGTTTACAAATCCAACACAACGTCACTTTCTGTTGTTTTCCATTCCTTTGATATGTTTGATTTTGCCATTTGTTAAAGGACTTTCCGTTTTGAATTTCCCTTCGAGTTCGGTATTACTGTTATTTTACTTCGTAAATGTACTAGTTTAGTATGACTGTTTGGAACTTACGATTGGAAGGAAGGAATTTTATAAATTTGGAAAACTACTACATGTGTATGATTTTACTTTACGGATATTAATTGGTACCAACCTTTGAACAGCTGGACACCGACTGAGAAAAGTTAGGACATATTTTTTGTTCAGTTAAAAAAAGATAAAAATTACACGTTGATTGGATTTACTTTTTGATACGTTTTATAAGATGATAAATGTGAAATAACTACTTCTTATTATTTCATTTTTATACATAATATATTTCAATTAAAATTATTTTTGATAAGCTAGAAATTATCAAACATAGACGAAAAATGCGGGGCGAGGTGAGATTTGACAAACCAGGCGAACAGAGACTTAACGTGTTTTTTTTACTTTGGCTAAAATTTAACTTTGAAAAAAAGTTGACGGAATGTACATAAATGATTTGAAAAAACCCGCAAACTTCCGAATTGCATCCATCTATTTGATCAGAAATGAGCTATGTCTATTGAGGGGCCCGTAGGTGGCCTATTGCAAGAATGAATTTCTGTCCCTATCCAATATACCCTCATTTTCCCGTGGTAGTCCAAATTACCCGGACCTTTATCCCGGATGGCCTCTATTACAGAATCTACCTATTGTATTTATTGTTAATTTGTTCTCGCCCTGAAACTCGTGAAATATTTGCCACTGGACGTTAAGCAACCAACAATCAAACAACAATCAAATTTTACCATGTAAAAACTGAAATCGGTGACCTATAGTTTATAATTTCTGTGTCATTTGTTATCTTGTGAAAAGTTGTCTCATTGGCAATCATACCACATCTTCTTTTTATATCATATGCTATTGTCGATTTTTGAATATCGCTTTAAATTTAGTTGATATAGATATGAACTTGCACGATACAATGGTAAATCATTAAGATAAAGTTAAATTAACCTAATTCTAACAGAGAGATAATGTAGATAAGGTTCTACAAGCTTATAATTCACTATCAAAGGCTAAATAATGTTCGAACCGAAACGAATTTTAATTTTTGGTAAGCATAAATTTAACTGTATGTTTATATTGATTCATGTTCAAAATCTTATGTAAAGTTGTTTAGCTTTACAGATTAATAATTTAAACATATAATTGTTTTATTAGACATAAAATATCATAACATTCACTTTATTGCACACCCTGCACTTTAATTTATAAATTGCAGTTATAAAGTGTGGCTGCTAACAAGCATTCTTAGTTCATGTTAATGTCACTTCTATAACTTGGTCAGTAGTTTTAATAACAAAGTTACATATGCAAAATCTGTGTTAATTAAAGTTCAGATTAATTTTTGAGTGCTAAAGTTTTTTTTTTTGTCATTTATCAAGTTTCTTTTTCTTTCTGCCACTAAATCTGCTTACTCTTTCAGATCATTTGATATCACCCCTTTTTTGGTGGGATTCGTGTTGGTCAGTCTATAGTTTTCTATGTTGTGTTTTGTGTAATCATTTAGAGTTTTGAATGTCAACTCGATATCTTATAGGGGGAGGGTTGAGATCTCACAAAACATGATTAACCCCGCCGCATGTTTGCGCCTGTCCCAAGTCAGGAGCCTCTGGCCTTTGATAGTCTTGTATGTTTTTTTAATTTTAGTTCATTTATATGTTTTGGAGTTAAGTGTGGCGTCCATTTTCACAGTCTAGCACACAATTTTATTAAGGGGCCAGCTGAGGACCACCTCCGGGTGCGGGATTTTCTCGCTGCATTGAAGACCCATTGGTGGCCTTCGGCTGTTGTCTGCTCTTTGGTCGGGTTGTTATCTCTTTGACATATTGCCCATTTCCATTCTCAATTTTATTCTTTCTCTTTTCTATTCTATTGATCTTATATTGTTGATTGGTACAAAAGAGAGGTTGATTTACTCAACAACAGCTAGCCGTATGCTGGTGTGCATGGCCAAGTCAGAGATCGTCGTTTTATATATCAAAGTGATTTTTGTTCACTTAAATCTATAATTCATTCACAGCTTGTTTTTTTTTATATTAAAATTTGATTTTTAACAAATTCCGAAACTATTTAGAAAACTCAGGAACGTATATACCTCATACATAGCTCTGATGCCTTCTCCGAGTTTGGCTTAACTGTTGCTCCTTTTTGGTTTTATTATCTTTTCAATGTTTGTATTTTTGTATTTTGAATATTTTGGCTTTGAACATTACTGAAGAGACACTGTCAAAATAGATTTTAAGTTTGAGGACTGAGTGGTTATAAAACAAATATAAAAATATACACTTATTGCATTGTAGCAAGTTTCGTTCTTGGATCCTTGGCAGCTGTTTGTGAAGATGTAGACACGAAAGCATGCGAACTATTAGCCATTAAACGACCAGATTTATGTAGTGACGCAGATCTGTCTGCCGTTTGTACAAGGTTCTGCGGAAGATGCCGTAAGTACAAAAATGTATTGTTTGCAGATCTTCTCTGTAAAAAATGACTACCATGTGGTCACTTTTTAATTAGTATGAACTAGAACACACCCGCGAGTTTGTGACTGAATTAAAGTACCTATGCCTTATTTTTAGTTTGGATTTATAGTTTTCGTATTGCCATCAGATAAAGTCATGCCAATTGTAAGGTGCACAGTTTTCTCTGCTTTCAAAATATTTCTGTTTCTACACGTTCTTGCTTTTTAATTGTTAACTAAATAACCAAAATTAGTAGTGGTATCGAGGTGGAAGAAAACAGACTTGTTAAATAGTGAACTATAGTGTAACATGGATATAAAAAAACTACTGGAATAATTCCAGGTTCTCCTGATAGAGCAGAAATTTACAGAAGGTAACCGGTATCGAAACAAAAGGGCCTGGAATGGTGTAATTTTTTAACAGCACCATCGTCCATTATAATTATATACAAAGTCTTTGTTTCGTCGTTTTTACGTCATGCCGGCTAACAAATTAGACCTCGTTATTTTAGTAGTATAAATATTGTATTATCACTCTCTACTTCAATGATTTATACTTTGCGCCATCTCCTGTACTCACATGTATGTTCTTGCTTGTCTACTATAATTTATACTTTTTACCCACTTTTCTGCTTTAGTATATGATATGTATAGTGTGTGATATGTGATAACGTCTCTACTTAAACATGTATAATGTTAACTACGCATGTATATGGGCACTTCTCTGGTAATATGTATACTATGAGGGCACTTAGTAGTTTCGGTGATAAAATGAATTAAGATCAACGGAACATGAACATATCCATAGTCCTCTGTGACACAGATATTCCTGCCAAAACGGCGTTCATAACTCTTTCAAACGGACGACTTAAAGTTCACCACAAATCACATTTGATTCAGTACTTTTCAACTTTACTGTAGCCCAAGTGAACACTAAATTGTATGTCCTCGTGCATGTACTATAAAATATGTTTATTGTTTAAAACACGTAATATGTGTACCTCTAAATGCAATTGTTTTGTCTTTCATTGTGTTGTTAGATTGTTGTCTCATTGACACTAGCAAATGCATTCTTTTTTTTCCACATTCCTTCTTGTTTGTCTAGACAATTGTATATTGAATATGCTCATTTCTAAATAGGTCTAATGAGTAGGCTCATGTCTAGACCACTATGTATTCTCTATTCTGTGTTCACTTCTTGTACAATAGATAGTACTGTGACACTGCTTGTTCTTAGGAATAGTATGTGCTATTTTCCATTATATAATGTATTGGATGTGATCATTTCATTGTTCATGTTGTTAAATTGAAAAAAATTGAAATACAAAACATAATACACAGTCACATCACTTTCAGAAAAAAGTAAAATCTACAACTAAAAATGGCATAAACAAATCAAATCAAAATGAAATGAAATTTAAGTTTTCTGAATTTAAACCCTACTTACTTCCGAAAAATCGTCAAAACATGTATTTCTAGAATAAGACTACATTTTATTTCACTATCTTATTTCGGTTATTGTACATTTCTTAATCTATTTATAGTGCATTAAAAGTAAACAATGTATGGTTGTAGTGCTAACATATATCTAACATCCTCCTTGATAAATATTCTTCTTATTTTTCGAACAATACCTAATACGTTATGATTGTTTTACATAGCTGTAAAATGTTACCAGTGTCCTGCAGTAGACGACCCATCAAACTGTACACATCTTGTTGCCTGTCCATCTATGGATCATGTATGTATCATTTTAGGTCTAAATCCGTGTTTAGATTTTTTTTTTTAATTTCAAATGCACAAATTTACAAAAGTCAAAGACTTTATTGCAGACAATCTACTTGAATATCTAACATTTACTAGGTACGCTCATAGCAAAATCTTTTGATAATAAATAGACATAAAACGTTAGAAATATAATATCAATAAAAGAACAACGAAGAGCGTGATCAAAGTTCTGTATCAACATGCCTTCTGCAATTGTCGGGTGTGAACAAACAAAAATATGTCTTTATTGAACCTTTTGAAAATGTGTGTATTTTAAAAATAATCAAACATTCAGCACGATTGCCAAATATTAAAGTACAAATCTTAATAGTGTAGACATGGTTAAATTTATATTTTTTCTCTTTTAGTATTGTTTCACTACACAAACATTTACTAATGATTTCTCAGAAGTTTATAAAATGGGATGTGCTGAAAAAAGTGTAAGTATTGTTTTTTGTTCTTGTTTGTTTATACGGACTTACAAGAGGGTTTATATGTATCTTTAAAGTTGAAAAATAATGTCGTTGGGTTGCTGCCTCATTGACGTATATTTCACATATCCTTTTCTTCATAAACATTTCTTATTTGTTTTAACACTGAATATATGAAACAGATTTAAACAGGTGATTCTAGTTCATTGTATGATTGATTACTGTATTTTCATAATCCTTAGTCCGCAATAATAAGATTGAGAACGGAAACGGGGAATGTGTCAAATTGACAACTACCCGACCAAAAAGCATAAAACAGCCCAAGGCCACCAATGGGTCTTCAACACAGCGAGAAAATCCCACACCCGAAGGCGGGGTAAGCCGGTCCCTAAACAATAATATATACGTTTAAAAAAAAAGTATAAAGGACCTCTTCTTCTGTGAAAGCAGGGTAAAAAAAACGAATAGATGACGTTTACTCCGAATAATTTAGTCATTCCCCGTAATCGAGCTCTCCTACTTGACCATTGTAGAGGAGCGGAATATATCAACTTCAAGGTGTCGGACCACCAATTCAAAATCCCCATCTATTCAACCAAATTTTGCAATTTTCACAGCTTTCTTAACATTTTACCTTAAGTTTTAACTTCATAGAAACCAGGTATATCCTAAATTGTACATGTATCACCTTTCTACATGCCAATTTTCAACCTACCTTTAAAGTCTTATAAGAAAGAACTTACCTTCGGAACACAAGTACTACTAAAATTACCCGTGGTTTTCTGGAAATCTTAAATAAGTATACTATGGAGCGCATTAATCCTCAATTTTTAATGCAAACTCATAGACAAGTAAATTTTGGCTCAAAATGATCTAAATATATTTCTCTTTCACCAAAAGTTTCATTTCTGCAAATGTGATGGTTAGTGTAAGTAAACAATTACATCAAAAGCACTATTTTGTGTCAGAGTAGGGCTACTTTTACATACGTTCTAAATTGGAGGGAGTGAATTGGTGGTCTGACCCCTAAATAAAACAGGTAAGATGACATTGAGCATAATGAACAATTTTGTCGATTTAATCATTCATGAAGAAAAAATGGCAATACTGTCTGTGGTTGTATGGGCCTTCGGTCTGCTGTCTTTTTGACGTAAGCGTGTATGATTTAGTAAATTCATCTATTTTCAATTTGACATTGTATCTTGATAATAATGTTTTAAAAAAAATCTTTATGGAGCAGGATGTTTGTTTGACACTAATATAATCAGAAAATTCGAATTATATAAAGTGCACTGTATATTATGATACCTTACACAGAAATGCCAGCAATATTTTGGTCCAGAGAACCGAAAAAAGAATGTAGACGTTAACGGCGCATGCTGTACTACAGACAATTGTAATAACCAACTACCACTGGTGATTTTTTCTCAAGAAATACCACCAACATCTTCACCATCTAGTACGTTGAATAACTTCAAGTCTAAATCTATTTAGTATATTTTAAGAGCTCAAAAGTAATGTTTGTGCATGTACACTCATCTAATTTCGTTTTCTTGATACTATTAGTATAATATGGAGTATCGATGAATCGGCTCTTCGATCTAGACAAGATGAAGCAAAGGAATAGTTCCTGTTACAATTTTTTTTAATTGTCTTGTGAATGGGGTACATACTTTGAAAATTAAACATTTGAGTTATCTTTTTAGACTTTTAGTGCTGTAGTTTTATGGACGAGATATTTTTCGATATTATTGTAATTTCTGTCGCAAAAATGGGCATTGATAATTTCACTTTTCTTTAAAAATGGGTAAAAAATGTGGCGGTGACATGGGCTATACTTTGAGGCTAAAACGCCCGATTTTTTCGCTAAAATGACCTATCAATGCGTTAAAATGTCCACCGGTGGTAATAAGTGAGGAGTTGACAACTTAAATTTCACAAAATTGTAGTTAGGATAACACTTTTTATTGTAGATATGTCCGTAAATACAACTGCTGATCCAAATACTTGCGAAAATCTAGACGATGTTGCCTGTCACAGACTAAAATCAAGCAATAACCTGATATGTAAAAAGGACGGTCTTTCGTCGAATATTTGTCCACGTATGTGTGGAAAATGCTGTAAGTAACATTTGAATGTCACAACTGTCTTGGAAAAACAAATGGGAATTTGAAACAATAAAGATAAGTTTTAGAATTGACCTTTAGATTGATATGTAATTAGGTATATGTTAGTCATTTATTGTACGTACGTTGTCGTATCAAACGGTTAATTTACTTTCCGATTGTAAAATAAGAGACTTGCGTACGTAAAGTCTAACTTGCAATCTTTAATCTCTTAATCTTACCATGGAAGTATTGTATTGACGCCAATATAATACTTCCATGATCTTACTCATACATGATTTTTTTAAGGATTATTGCTACAGTTATCAATGAACGTTTTTTATAGTTATTATATCATAGGATGGGATACATTGATGGTCATCAATAATTTAGAGTGGATAAGTAACTTTGTTATTTTGACAGTTTGAAATTTATATCATAGAATAGAATAAAAGCTTTTTAAAAAGACATCATCCTTGTCATAAAGTGATTTCTTTATCATTTGGTGATGTTAACTACGCTTGGTTGAATTTGTGTTTAATTGATCCTAAAACAGCATTATTAAAAAAAAACCATAACTTTCAAGATTTGAAAAAAAAAGGATCTGTGCGTTTCTTTGGAAATTGAAAAACAGTTTTCTGTTTGTGGGGCATACTTCATCTTCTTTTATGTTAGAATATATATATTGATAGTTGTATTCGGTATGGTGTAGTGTGCCAGTTCGCATGTACATTTTTTTTGTACATCAACTCTTGTCAATTGAACCTGTTTGGAGCTCGGTATTAATAAATACGCAATAATGCCCTTTCTGATTGATGATTTTAAATTGAATACATTTAAGAGTATCCCGTTTCTATGGAAACTTAATACTAAGTTTTAATTCTTACCGAGTTTCTGTGAAGTTATTCAGGATATATACACACACAGTAACGTCCATTTTGAACGTTGATAAAGCAATACGTAATCTAATCTCTATTCTTATAATGTCCTTTATTTGCAGTTAACTGTTACACCTGCAATGATATTTATAATGTCGACGACTGTAACTCTACAAATGTCTGTCATTCCGGACATGTAAGTAAATTTTAAACTTTTCAGACAGGATTTTCTTGATAAGAACGATTTTAACTGGCGGTGCTCTAGTCTTTTTTAATGAAACAAAAATGAAATTTTGGCTTTAATAAATAATTAACTTTAGAATTTTTATTTCTTTAATAACCATTCGGTTGCCATTTCAACAATGTACCGGAATCTGCAATCAAAATAATAATGACTTAAACATTTTTCTTTCTTTCGTAAGAAAAACTAAATCAATGCCAAGAAAGTGAATACCAAGATATGTTATTTATAAACCATCAATGAGCTGTGTATTATTTAATATGCTTTCTATGTCCAGTGAATACATTTTGTACATGTATCCAACAAAGTGAATGAATCAAATATCTGTTAATGAAGAGTAAGATGAAACAGTCAAACAGCAAGATCATTTATTAGGGCATGTAGGTGGAAAGTATGTAAGAAAACTTTTAACAACACATGCATCTTCTTTATGTAGTTCTAAGACAGGCATAGATAAAAAAACAAATACGTTTTAAACATGTCCTAATTATTAAGTATGTAAGGTAAAATTGCTGTATTTAATTAATCTGCCTACCCTTTCAGAGGACCTAAGATCACCCCCGGTTTTGGTGGAGTTCGTGTTGCTCAGTCTTTAGTTTTCGTGGACTAGTATTTGCCTTTGGGCGTTATTCGTTTTTGCCATTGCATTGTCAAACTGCTATTATATATCCAATGAAATTTTTCCGATAAAGTGTGTGGTTCAATTTTTGTCATTTTTTAAATTTTTTTTTTTAAAGGGTCAAAGTAAATATTTTGTCAAAATTTTATGAAAATTCAACGAGCCAAATTAATTTTAGTCAAGTGGTACCACCTTAAATATCCTTTTGGTATGTTTAACATAGTAATTAATATGAGAAAAATTAGGAATTCAATATCGTCGACGAACTTCACTTTACAGTGTAAAGCTCTTTCACGAGTTTGAGATATTCTATCGATTCTCAAAAAAGATGTGGAATAGAAGATATTCTATCTTTTATATTTCATTATTTATAATTTAATTCTATTGTGATAAAAAATATTAAAGAAATGAGAATTGCCGATTTCCTGCTGTCCTACATACACACACAGAAACTTATATTAAAAACTACCCAAACATGAACAATGTGACTCAATTGTAGGTCTTAGTAGCAGTTGTATCACCTTAAAGACTTTGACTGGACAATGAAGTTCGGAGCACACAAATCATTTGCAAGTGACACCTAGCGACTTTCCATTGTTTGTTGGTGTCAATTTTCAAAAATACTCTTTGACCTCTCACTGATTATCTTTGGGATGCCTGTTTTTGTCTTTTAACTTTTTTAATTACCGATTACTTTTTCTTTTTTTTTATTTAACATCTCATTAATTTTCTTTTAATAATTTCATATCTGACTTTTACACATTTATACTGGTAGGAATGTTTTACACTGGAGACACTGAGCGCTGACCTGAAACCAGTTTATAGAGTAGGCTGTATTGAAGAACAGGTACAAAGTACTGATTAACTGAGTAAACCCTGAAATAATTCAAATAGTAGAGCTAACTTGAATCCTAACATTTCACTTCCTGGTTTGTTTGCATGTCTTTGATGGAGTTTTAGTGATTATAGTAAAGGCCATAATCGTATGGATTTTATTGGTACGTTTAGAGCATATAAGATCTTTAGTAAAAAATATGATAAACAAATCTCAACACAAAATCCGCCTATATGCTGCCATAAACAATCTTAGATGTGGGTTGACAACCAGATTCCGCCACATATTTAGCTATATAAATGGATAAACATCAAAAGACTCTTTGCATATTACTGACTTTTGACTCCTGAGTTTATATTTTTTCGACAGGTGACCTACTCTGTTTTATACTGTGACATAAAGATATAAAGAATTCTTATGACACCATTAATGCAATACTGGGTTATTGTGAAAACCTTGGCTATAACAAATTCTTGTATATCCCCATAACTTGAAGAAACATGGATCCTTTCATGTCCCCACCCCTATATGCTGGTTTACCTCTTTCTGTACTTCTTTCAGATAAGGCTTAATAAACTACCTGTATCCAATCATTTCTTATCTTATTTAAAAAGAATAATAAACAGTACCATTCAAACAGATACAAATGACAGTTCCATTCAATTTGTATTCAATTTATCCAAAATTTACAACATATTAGTAAGCACAAATTCAAGATTTTTCATACTAATCTCCATTCCATGCTTTAGTATATGCCATGTTGTGGTTCAAAATTTCAGAACTTGTTATAAAATCCATGAGTCTGTCTTGGGATGATAAAAACAAAGATATTAGACACTTAAAACATTAAATATGCAAAATACTCAGCTATAAAGTTGCCTTTCTTGCCTGTATCAGTCTATAAAAAGCTGAATTATGTCCCTTGGAAGTATTCATTTCCAACAAAAGTCCTTTCAAACAGTAGAAAATGAAAAATTATATATGCTTGATATAATAAAAGATAGAAACTACAAAATGAAGCACTATTCAAACATTTGCTGCATGAATTGCCAAGAATGTGATCAATTCTTTACACTAGAGAATATAAAATCTACCTAATTTTAGCCTCAATTGGGCTTTTTTCTTTCTTAGATGGACAATTTGTACACGGAAATTGCTTCTATTATGACCAAATATTGCCTTACTCCATAAACAGTACAAACTTAACCAGACAATTTCCCAATTTAATAGATTATGGCTTGAGAAATACCCAAGGGATACATTTAGGGAATTACACAGCAAAAAAGGCAAATATTTCAGTTAAAAATATTTGTCGCGACTTGAATTCTGGTGTCTCCAATTGAATTAATCATTGTGAAAGGTGAAAACAAATACAAAAGAACTAGAGTTAGGTGCATCTTATACAATATAGTTAATATTGAAATCCTAGAATGAAGTTTTATATCAGTACCCATCAATTTGACTTATTATGATGACTCAGCACTTTTCTCAACACAGTATTGGTCTCAGTGAAAAATTTCTATTCTTGGTGATAAAAATCAAATGTATTAATCAAAAGCTTCAAAATAGTGTAATATAACTGAAGTCTGATTGATTTTGATTTCCCTTGCTATCTTCAGTACAGGGAAAACGGTACTATTTATTCTGCCATAGGCGACAATACTAACATTTTTTAAATTTACCACTTTTTATAATAAAAATCTGGACAAAACAGTTATGTGTGGTGTTAGTACTTTATTACTCTGTTTTAAAAATTGAAGCCAAATAGTATCATGACCAACTTCCAACGGAGCTTGTTTATGTTATCCATGCCCACCGTCAATTTACATTAAATTTATGAAATTTTGGAAGTCTTTTCGAATAATTCTCTAGAAAATATTTCAATGGGTTTCAAAATTTATATTGTAAATATACACACTGCAGTTATTCATAGATAAATAAAAAAATATATTGTACCCTTACATCCAATCACAGCGCTCCTAAGTTGACTTCCTTCACCTGCCTTGGGTACACAAAAGGCCAACCTAATGCTGGGAAAATGTAATAATACCGTTTTCCCTATAGGACATCCTGGTTTTTAGTCAGTTAAGAGCAACTTAAAAAAGTAAAATCAAGCTAACAAACGATACAATTCTGGGGGAAATTTTTTTTTGCTCTTAGTCAGTACCAGGATGTCCTACCACAGAGTAGGTATCTGTCGAAAAATTATGTAATCTGGAGTCAAAAGTCGATAATATGAAAATAGTCTATTATCTTAATGGATTCATTCGAACATAATATTTTTTTATGATACCTGGCCAACTTCGAAGCTAATATTGAAGCTTGCATGAATGAAGAGTCGCAATGTTCTTATTATGCATTAATTTCATTAGTACATGTATAGTGAACGTGTTTTTTCATAAATTCTGTTTTTGAATTAAACAAAGTTAACATAAAGTTGGTATACAACATTATCAATCTGTAAAACTGTCCTATTTTTCTTTCATCCTTTACAAGTTGTGTGCAAGGTTCAAAGCAAGTACTGCAAATATCTTTGGAAGACGAGATGGATTTGCTTTAAAAGGAGGATGTTGTAAAACAGACCTGTGTAATGACCATTTTGAAAAATACCACCCAACGACAACACACAAACCTACTAGTAAGACATCATCAATATTTTTAAAATACGTAGCATTATTTGGAAAATCGCAATATCGTTGCATGCAATCGATTTAATAACATTCCATTAAAAAAAAACATTCATTGTATGATAATCATCATAAACAACTTTCATATTGACATAGTGTATTTGTCAATAGATAACCAGATGTATACAAAAGAAGAAGGGCCATTCTTTAAACCTCTCTTAATATTTGATTAAATTATCATTATCACATTGCCATGGATGTTCTATGAGGTTCTAACAATAGTTTTGACAAAAAGCTCAAAACCACACCTTTGACACATTTTGACAAATGTTATGTTTCTAAAAGACTTGTAAAGGATTCCGCGGTACCCTGTTTCCTGCTTCGAGACTTGCTGTTTACAGAGTGAAAAATGGTATGTTGCCTGCCCAAAACTAATATAAAAATAAGGAGATGTGGTATGATTGCATATGAGACAACTATCCACCAAAGTTCAAATGAAGTGGATGTAAGCAATTATAGGCAACCGTACGGCTTCAACAATGAGAAAAACTCACACCGTATGGTCGGCTATAAAAGGCCCCCACATGAAAAATATGAAACAATTCAATTGACAAAAATAAAGGCCTAATTTATGACAAAATAATTTACTAAAAAAAATATGACAGACATGAACGAAGTCCATTATTGGTTAAATATTCCAGAAAAACATATAACTTAAGTCTGCTCTGTCTGGTATTACATTTGTATTTCGATATATAGAAACTTTATTTAAATTTTTGTAATATCATAGATATTTCACAAGCTTATAAATCGTTAACCAGTAATTGTGTGGAAATGTTAACTGCAAAAAAAAAAAAAAAAAGAAAAAAATCTACCTATCAGTCAAAGATGCAAATCAGGAAAAAAAAATAGTTAAAAATATTCCCCAGATAATTTCTCTTGAGCTAAAGAAGCTTCATTTCAAGTTTAATGAATTCCCTGAACTAATTTCGCGCTTAAGATACATGTAAAACCGTAAAAACATCACCTGGCGTAAATTTAACAGTATAAAAGTAAGGTAGTATCAAACACAAAAATATAACATAACAAACAGCTGGCCCCTAATTTTTATTTAGGGGCCAGCTGAAGCCCGCCTCCGGGTGCGAGATTTTCTCGCTGTGTTGAAGACCCATTGGTGGCCTTCGGCTGTTTTCTGCTCTTTAGTCGAGTTGTTGTCTCTTTGACATATTCCTCATTTCCATTCTCAATTTTAAGTCTGACCATAGAAATCGCGAAAAATACTATTTTACAGTACACTTTGAAAGTTTGGAAAGTTACGTAATATTGTTCAAAAATATGAAAGTAAGTGCATGATGAAGAATTTCAGATATTCATATTACAGTAGAATTTTACATCTTTTAGATGTTGCCCTGTTTCTATAGAAATGCCTAAATTATAATTGTTTTAGTTTGAGTTTTATTATTATCCAAACGAAATATCAGGGTTTTAAGCAGCACTCTTAATGTTTAAAGTTCCTTTCTTGCTTATATGAGAGAGAAGTATTAACGATATCTTTTTCAATCTGTTGTCACAATTAGTACTATACTAAAACTGTTTTTGTCCGTGACGTGAATAGCAGGTTGTTCCGTATATTTGTAAATATAATGAATATAAGTTATATAGGGAGTGTAAAGATATCCATACAATATACATATATATATATATATATAAATTTAGTGTGTAGCGGATAGGGAAACACAACAAATTTAAGTTTTCGTCTTTGTGTCACTGACTGAGTCTTTTGTAGACGATTCACGCGTATTGTGTACACACATTTTCTATCATTGTATCTATGATGAGTGTATTGTCATCTCGATGCATTTTGAAACTATTGTTTCCATTTATGAAAATTTAATGTTTTTCGTGTTAACCTAACATTGTTCTTGACCGTACTTGTTAACTTTTTTTTAAATAAACTCATCATAGATAGCAGGATTGAAATTTTGAACGCCAGACGCGTTTGGTTTAAAAAAGAAGTGATTATAACTATTTGTTTTACACAATAACTACATCTGTCTATATCTTACCTAGATCCATGTGTTCATAATCACAGACACTGTCCAACCGGATATACGACATCTTCATCAACATGTGTAATGATTGGTCAACACAAAATGACTTGGTATGAATCAAAGGTAATTTATGAAATCATTAAAACTAATATTATAATTGTTATGGTTTTATTCAAAAAAGAGAGGTGTAAGATAACAAAGGGACAGTAAAACTCATAAGTCGAAAACAAACTGACAACGTAATGGCTTAAAAAGAAAAAGACCAACAAACAAACAACAGTACACAAAACATAAAATAGAAAACTAAAGATGATCAACACAAACCCAACCAAAGGTGATCTCAGGTGCTCCGGAAGGGTAAGCAAATCCTGCTCCTTATGTGGCACCCGTCGTATTGTTAGCACAAACCCGGTGATAAGTCTTATTCGGTAGGTCACATTCGAGGAAACAGGAACGGGATTGTATTTACGACAGTTGGAACATATCCGTTGTCATTTGCGAAACAGATATTCCATTACGGTCAACCAACTCGTGATGGCGTTCATAAAATTTACGAAGGAATGAATTCAACTTCACCACTTGGAATTCTTGGTTCATAGCTTCCTTGTGAGCAGCAACCCTCTATCAAGGAAATCTTGATGGGAAATACAAGCCCTGGGATATCGTATCAACTGGGATGATATGTACTCCGTATACAGGCGCTGCTGGAATTTTGCTACATAGAAATGGAACGTTCATAATCGGGAAGCTGAAATCATCTCTTTTGTCGTAAAGTTTTGTTTTCAACCGACCCTCATTGTCAATTTCTAGATGTAAGTCAAGATATGAGGCAGACTTAGCTGTATCTGTTGTATCCTTTATTTTAAGTTCGATGACATAGATGCGTTCAACATAGTCACCAAATTTTGAATCATTTAGTGAGAGAACATTATCTATGTAGCGGAAAGTAGCGGAAAGTGAAGTTAAAGGATACAGCTAAACTTCATTTCTTTCTTCTTAAAACGTTCATGTATGAAGTCAGCCTCATATTAATAAAGGTCAAAGTCAGCAAGAAGAGAAGGGCACAGTTGGTTCTCAAAGTTAAGTCACAAAAAGTTGTTGAATCAACCAAATATTTTGGATTTACATGTTCTAAAATCTTTAAGCTAACATTCCCCCAGAATATACCATATCAGTTGAGTGCTTATATACATTTCAGCATTTCTGTGCATCTCATTGTGGAAGACTGGTGGACTTCTCATCATTTCACGATATGCAACATATATTTGCATCACTAGTTCCCCATAGTCACGGCCATTACACAGGCGAGTACAATGCATATTATAACTTACAGTTTCTAAAGATCTGAATTTGCAAGTTGTAATTCAATAGAGGCTGAAATCGATTTTTGTTTAAATTCAAAAACTAAACGAACATCTGAGAAATATTTTGTACAAATATTAATTAAACGCGTTTTCTCAATTGATTTTTGTTTCATATTTTTAATGTCGGGGCCTTTTATAGCCGACTTAGTTTTTCTTCTTGTTGAAGGCCGTACGGTTGCCAATAATTGCTAACATTCACTTTATTTGAACTGTGGTGGATAGTTATCTCATTGGCAATCATACTACAATTCCTTTTTTTATATATGTGAAATTGCTGTTTCCTTAATATATGTTTCTATAATGCTTGAAATGTACAGTCAATTTCAAATTTGATTAATAAATGAATACGAAAGTTGTACTGTAGCTAATTCAATACACAAATAATGTATCCATGAAATTGTCACAATGACGTCATTGAAAGCTATATAATTTGCATATATGACCAATGATAATTTAATGCAAAAAAAATGAGAATATCAAACTGATTTCATTAAAATTCTTAAAATCAGATCAATATTTCGAGGAACGTCACCCTGTTATTCATTAAAAGGTTATTATGTAAGGTACACTGAAGCTTGCATCTATCCACATATATCCGGACAGTTTTAGTCATTAGGAGGTATCATTCTTTGCTATCCCTGTCTGATCGTCATTTAATGAATTCATATTAAAAAGAATAAATATAAATCGATGAAATTCTTGTATTTTGCACAAATCCAAAGTTGGATGACAGTTGAAAGAAGAAAAAATATATATAAACAGTATCCATTATATATTTCGGACTATTCTCGTACGTTCATATGAAGGATGGTTATTATCAAAGTAATCCGCTTACGGTTGAGAATTGGATATCGCTTGATATTAACTCTCGTTATTTGATTTGAACAGGCTCGTTTATTATTACATTGAAATTGAGTAACTCGCTTTGATATCAAGCGATATTCTATTCTCACTCGTTATGAAACCTATAATTATTACAATAGTTCGAGATTCCAGCATAAAATGTAGTCATATATATATATACAAATGCATTGCTGTAATATAATTGCAATTCATTAATTAAACAGATACCAGAGTATGGACCGATGCACATTATGTACAACACAAATGGATTTGGAATCACAACGGTCAGTCTATTGATCGGAGTCAGTTTAGACACCTTTCAACTACACACACTAATAACCATGGTTGTGGTTTTGCTTTAGTTCACACCAATAAGACAACTACAGAGGACTTAATTCCTACTGATTGTACCAAAGATCACCTACCATTGTGTGAAGCCACACGAACATAACAGGTTATAATAAAAATATATATTGTGCACTGTTGTTTCTTCATTTCATGTTATTTTCAATAATCTTTTACTTTTATTTGTGAACAAAAAATGTGATTCACTTTTCTACTTATAAGTTTGCAGAATTTCAATGATATTAACAATAATGTCTATATGTTATAGTTTTATTATCGTTAAGGTTTTTTTTTTGTATGAAAAAAATATGAGTTAAGAATCAAAATGTTCCTCAGCCATTTGAAATTGTTTTCCCATGCATATAACTCTATGAATGAGATTTATAGGATATTTTCGAATAAAGGCGGGGACAAAGTCAAAAACTAGCATTGGACATCATTCTTATAAAAAGACCTGGATAAAACTGTTTTCATAAAATTATTGGAAAGTAAAGATTCAGAATTCAAATATTAGAAAAATATCACAAGTTTACTTTTATTCAACAAGTACTCGGAGATAAACATATGTAATAATGCATTGACGGGGTTGAAGTGTTTATATGATTTTATCTGTTTAATTAGGTGTATGTTTCTTAACAATAAAATCTTTCTTAACATTAAAATGTTTTCCTTCTATGTATAAACTGCAACTCACTTCTGGAAGATTTGTGTATGTGTCGTTGCTAAGAAGAAGGTATGATCAGGCCTCTTATTTTGCACATTAAATTCGAAAACTAAAAAAGTATCATAAATCTACCATATAACATCCTGAAGATATTTATAGTACATTATAGTCTAAGAAATCAGTTTTGATATTGGTTTTTAATTTTGTCTTACTATATACATGTTTGAAGTATGATTTCAAACTTTTTACATATGTGTAAAACTGCATAAAAAACTGCCAAAACAACCACATTTTGAGATCTTGTCATTAACATTTAGTTATGTGTTTAGGCTTTAACCAAAAGGATATCTTGCTTCAATATGTATGTTTCAAATGTAAATGAGAAATATCTGTTCGCGTACGACTTTGTTCGTTTTGTCCAAAAAAATATACGTTAATTGGCCCTTTTAGGTCAAATATGCTAACTTTCGATTTCTTTAACTTTTCCAGCTTCACTTATGAGGTTTTTTTTAGACGAAACGAGCGTCTGGCGTACAAAATTTTAATCCTGGTTTCTATGATGAGTTGACAGCTTCATGGCATCATAGTAACATCACAAACGACCTTCATGCATTAATGTGTCCAGATTATAACCTGTTCGTTTATTAATAATGTTATCATTATTTTGAAAGGTTTGAATCTATGATGAGTTTATTTACTACTTTTGCAATTTCAGGGACCAAACAATGGCTCTTAAAGACAAAAAGAAAAAGCACCTTGCCAAATTCTTTAATTTTACTTTCCGAATCATTGAATAACCAATATTTCAGCCAATACTTACATCTCATATATCCCAGTGAACTTGAAATTAAGGATACTACTGATACTGGAAGGACTGCTTCATACCTAGATCTTTTCCTCAATATTGACACAGATGGACGACTTCACACGAAAATCTTATGATAAACGGGACGATTTCAACTTCCCAATTATCAATTTCCCATTTCTCAGCAGTAACATACCCTCTGCCCCTTCGTATGGTGTTTACATATCTCTATTGATACGTTATTCTCGTGCTTGTTCACACTATACGGACTTCATATACAGGAGTGTGCTCCTTACGCAGAAACTGCTGCAACAAAGTTATGAGGAGGACAGATTAAAAATGACACTCCGTAAATTTTACGGACATCATCACGAATTGGTTGATCCATACGATGTGTCTTTGTCCAAACTAACTAAGGACATTTGTACCACGTGTTAGATTGTGGTTTGTCATTATGTCGTCTGATCTTTTAATTACCGAACGTGACTTATTCCCGATTGTGACTGTTTTGCTGAGTGTGAAACCGCATTGCTATAAGACGTGTCACGGTACTTTTCTATCCCAAATTCATGTATTTAATTTTGATGTTATATTTGTTAATCTCGTCGGATTTTGTCAAATGTCTTAACGTCTTTTCTGTTATATTCGTGTGTTATGGTAAAGATAATTAATCACCCCCTTCATTTATTAGATTTTAGTTTGGTTCAACGAAATTTATACGATATACTTGGTTTACAGTTTGATTCAGAAGAAACACCGACATAGCTAGATAATACAATTAATTATCTAATTACTACCACAATTTGATATTATTAAGTATTGTAATTTTCATTGTTATTAATAAATGTAATGTCAGTATTACAAATCTAATCTTGAATCAATCCTAATCCTATCTTATTTTTGGGAAATATTTTTACAAATTCAAAGGTGACGTCACTTTGTGTTTTTTTTTTTAGAATTTCAAATGTGACGTCACTTTGTGCGTTGAGGCTTTGGCTAACTCGGCTGTGTAATTTTATGTGTTGGATTAAGTTGTTTTATGTAATGTATCCGTTTTTATTCTGTAGTTAGTCCCCACTGCGGTTTTATCATGTATATCTATTATATAGTCATTTTATAAAATTTACTGTTTGCAAAATTATAAATCATTCTAAATAATAAGGATGTTCTTGTCCCAGGCAGAAAACCATGGCCGTGTTGGGCGCAACTTTTTGGAAGTTTTGGTCCTCGGTGCTCTTCAGCTTTGTACTTGTTTTGGCTTTCAAACTTTTTTCATCTGAGCGTCACTGGTTAGTCTTGTGTGGACGAGACACACGTCTGGCGTATTGGATTTTAAACCTGTTGCCTTTTGTTAGCTATTATTCGTGTGTTTCTTTGTCCTATATGTTCTCCCATTTATTTGTATTGTTATCCTGTCATGTAATGTTGTCATTTTAATGTTATATTCAACATTTCCATAAAAGCGGGAGGTTTGGCTAGCCACAAAACCAGGTTCAACCCACCATTTTTTCTTAAAATGTCATGTACCAAGTCAGGAAAATGGCCATTGTTATATTATAGTTCGTTTCTGTGTGTGTTACATTTTTATGTTGTGTTTTTGTTGTGTCGTTGTTCTCCTCTTATATTTGATGCGTTTCCCTCAGTTTTAGTTTGTAACCCGGATTTGTTTTTATCTCTATCGATTTATGAGTTTCGAACAGCGGTTAACTACTGTTGCCTTTATTTACTTTTCTTATCATACCATCTTCTTTGTTTTGCATTTTGTAATTGTATAGTTAGTTTTTATCTGAGGGGCAATAATATACAATGCAGAATTAAGAACCCTTAATATTATGTTTTAAATTAGCGTCTGTGTAACGATTATGCAATGGAAAGGTATATAAAATGAAATAAAAAAGTATAACAAAAATACCGAACTCCAAGGCAATTTCAAAAAGGGATGTCCATAAAAACTTACGAAATCAAACGCTATTAATCAACATTACAAGTGAAAAACAACTGCCATGATCCTGACTTGGTACAGGCATTTTCCGAAGAAAATGGTGGATTAACCTGGTATTATAGCTAGCTAAACCTCCCACATGTTTGACAGTTGTTTGTAGTTCCGTTTTGTTCACAAAATTGGGTTATGAACCCAAAAAGACATAATAAGTTAATGTGACCATAATTGTGATTCAGTAGCCAAAACTCTGTAAACATACACCACAAATGACAAAAAATTCAAAGAAACATAAAAATCAATCTAACAAAGAGGCCAATAAAAAGCTGTAGATAGTAAATTTGACAATAACGTCAACAAAAAGAAATTTTTGTCGTTGAAAGTACATACCGTATATAGTATTCACTTTTTCGATAAGGTAAAAAATAAGTACTAGGAATTATGAATACAAGGGTAAACAAAATAGAAATGGCACACCAGGACCCAACTGCACCAGGAATGCTCGAAGTCAAAAAGTCAAAAACCAGAAGGCGGGGTGAATAAATACGTCACGTGAAATGCCAAACGACAAAAAGAAACATAACAGCTCGAAGACAAATAACGGGGAAATTAAAGTAAAAAAAAAAAAGATACACAACTTCAGTTCAAATTAAGTGCGAGGGGCTCTATCATTGACTATCCGATTATTAATAGTTGATTTGCTGACCTCTTGTTTCACACAAAAGAAAAAGGAGTCCACTAACTTTGAAATATGCGTTAATGGCATTATCTTTTAATAGATTCAGTCGGCAAATTGCCTTTGAGTACCAGGCATTCAGATGAAAAATATGGAAATATGATGATGCTTAGAGGGAGCAGAAATAAAATTCAGTTTGATTTCGTACATGAAATTTAAAAACGATGTTGAACACAGATTGTTCAATTTCTGAAAGCTGCTTACGAAATACATTAATAACAGTTCTGATAGCAGAGACATTTGATTTGCTACAACCGTGACAATGTTATGCCTAATTCACTCAACATACTCTTATAATGAGAGAATGTTGATCAGGCTAGGAGTTGGAACTGCCCTGAACTGTGTTGATTTTGGTTTCGAAGCAAGATATATAAGGTCTGGTTTAGAAACAACTGTTATACTTGTTTTATACTTCTGGCATGAAGCAGGTTTTAAAGGTTATTGGGTTATACGTTCGATAGAGGTTTCATTTTCAAAGACCTTTTTAACTAAGTGCAGAAGGAAGTTTGAGATCTAACAGATTGTTGGAAAGTTGTTTCCTGTAAAGGTTTGTAATAGCTATTATCTTACCTCCTATACATTTCTAGGAATATGATTGATTAAAAGCAATCGCGTGGAGATCGTGTAAATCTCATATGACGTTAGTAGGCGTGGTTTATTTCAGTGGTGTTACGTCCCTTTATAAAAACAACACGGCGTTGAGAAAAAATCTGAAAGGTTTCAACAGACGAAGAAATTTATGATGAACGATTGAAATAAATGCAGAAAACACATTAAAAGCTAACAAGTTGTTATTGCTGGCATTTGTTTTCGTATAGACCAATGGAAGGAGGTTCTTAATATCGAAGACTTGATCACTTTGATAGGCCACTAAGATAGTCGGTAAGATAAATTCGTTACACAGTGTGCTAGTGACCTAATACGATATATATGGGGTCAGTAAATTTCATATGGGATTCGAGGTTCACTCTCAACCCATATGGAATTTA